CGTGTAGGCCAGTGCCAAGTTCACCCTGAGATCAGAGGGCAGGGAGTGGGGAAGAGGAGAAGGGACGTGGGTCCACTGTCCCAGCTGTGGAGGAAGAACTGGGTCTGCCCGGGCATCTGGCCCTCTCCAAGCTCCCCTCCCCCGCTCCCCCTCATCCCAACAGCAGAAGTCCTCCCCACCTTTGAGGTTCAACTCAAAAGCCACCTCTTCCAGGGAGCCTCCCTCTGCTCCCAGAGAACCATTCCGCGATGCTAGGGCAGTGGTTCCCAGGCTGAGTGCGGGACAGGGAGCAGTGCGATTCCGGGGGGGCCCTGAGCCCCCCTGTGCACCAAGCACTGGCAGCAGCCTGAATGCAGCTCCTACAGGTGTGTGTGAATGTTTTTCTAATCTGTGCAAAAGCTGTAATGACAAATAAGGCACAGGTTCATCAAAAAGCTGCACTGAATTCATAGTAGCTTTCGTCCCTGTGAATTTTCTCAAGGAGCACATACAGACGTATAAGCACAATCCGCGTGCTGGAGGAGGGACTGGCAGAAGGGTCCTCACCTTGAAGAGACAGAAGACCCTGCTGTGTATCAAGAGCTTGAACGGGGATAACATGGAGTCAGTATACCCTATGTGCTGCTGTTTTAACATTGCCTAGACCTGTCATGCTTTTCTAGCAGTTCACTTTACCCTCTAATCACTAGCCAAGGACAGAACCGGCTTCTCAGAGGTAGTTATTGATAATTGTTTCACAATCCACTTCCCAGCTTGTTTTGTAAACAAGTTAACCTAATCAACCCTTCATGACACAGACCCCATCAACAAGGCAGCAGTCATGTGACTAGCCCACCCATCTGCCTGACATCAGTACCTGTGCTTATCTGCCCTCCCTGATGATGTGGAGCAGACCACCACCCAATCACCTTAAAGACTTGCCCCATCAAGGGCAAGGTTTAAAAGGTGGTTCGCTTCAAACAACAGTTGCCATTGTTTTGTTAAGCACTGGTCAGGTAATGTGTTCTTTGAGGTATGGCCGCCATGTTTTCTTAGCTTTGGGGAGGCATCTCTACCTCTCCTTTCTCTCTCTCATTTACTTTCCTGGCGCAGGGAGAAAAGAATGGCAGGTAACGTGTTTGAGCGCTTATCACAGGCCAGCACCGTGCTGAGAACTCCAGGAGTCCATGACAACTCTATGACACTGACACTGCCATCTCCATTCAACAGGTGAGAAAACTGAGACCTACGGCAGTTAATTCACTCGACCCAAGTCCCAAAGCCCTGGAGCAGAGTTGCGAGGATGGGAGCCCATGCCCCACGGACTCCAAAGTTCAGGCAACTGACCACTAGGCAATCCTGTCCCCTAAAGAATCAGGAAAGTAGGGAACAAACAGGAAAGATGAGCAGGAGGTGGCTGGGAACCCTGCAAGCGGCCGGGAGCCCTGAGAAGCACCACCCTTCCCGGGAGGCGGGAGGAGGATGCTCGACATATGTGGGAAGTGGAGGATTTGAGGGCGGAAGGGGCCGTCTCGAGCACAGGCTCTTGGCACCTCAGCCTGCTGAGCTGGCACCTTCCGAGGATTAAACTCTGGTATGTCCACATGGCTCTTTGAGCTATGGCCACCATGTTTCCTAGCCTTGGCCCCCTCCCCTACCTTTGGGAGGTAAATCAATCAATCTGTCTAATTTACTTTCTAAATAAATTATATTTTCCCATCTAACTTCTGTGCAATTCTTTGCACAGCTTCACCTGACACTGGGTCGCAGACCAGACGTCCCCCCCTCCCCCCCATCTGGCCTGACCTAACATTCTGGAGGCCCTACTGGGATTTTTAACCTCGGTCCATACATGAAGACAGAGCCTCCTGGCTGGCAGAGGTGCAGCTGATAAACATGGCCCCAAGCCAGCCCCACTCCAAGTCCAGGGCTCCTGCCTCAACTTCAGAGCTGCCTGTGGGCTCTTTTCTGCCTTGCCCCTCCCAGGCCTTAACACTGCCATCTCTGTGCCCAGCTGCTGTGCACTGCACACCTACAGGGAGCACCACTCCCACGGAGCAGCTCTCGAAGGCTGCCTTGTCTGAACTCTCCTGGGAGTTCCTCATTGGTAAGGGTTCTGTCACCACATTTAATCTCCAGTGCCCTATCCAGGGCCTAGAACCCAGGGGACGTTCCGTAAGTGGATAATTAATTCAGGCTCTCATCCTCTTATCCTTCCTCTTCCCCTTCTTCCTCCCACTTCCTGTTCAGGCCTCTTGGGCACCCCCTTCCTGAAGCTTGAACAGACTCAGCAAGGAGCCTCTGCCACTTCCTTTCCCTCTGGGTCACTCGGAACCCAGACCCACAGAAGATCATCAGTCCCCCTACTGCCCTCTGCTTCCCCCCACGGGGCCCCGGGAGCTCTTCCTGACTTGGGTCCTGCCTTCAACGCTGTTCGGGGAGTGGACAGAGCCTGGGAGCTCCCTGAAGGCCGAGGTTTTGGGTTCCTTGGCTCTTCCCTCCTCCAGCTCCAGAAGTAACTTTGTGGAAGCAGGAGCTGGAGGAAAGTGCAGATGTCCCAGGGAAGGCCCTCCTGTCCTAGACAGAGAGGTCACGGAGGGGCCTGAGCGCTCCAGCCTGGGGGGCCTGGCCCCATCCCAGTCTCATGGACAGGTGAGAGAGGATGCATGCAGACCAGAGGGGAAGGTAGGTGTGAGGCAGAGCTGATGAGTTCAGGGAAGGGGTGAGAGTGCACACAGGAGTGTGTGTGTGTGTGTGTGTGTGTGTGTGTGTGTGTGTGTGTGTGTGTGTGTCTGACCCTGGAGGAGAGCGGGAGAAGTCGTGAGGTTGGGTCTTCAGAGAGCAGGAGAGGCCGAGGTGTGAGGGCAGATAATGACTATCCCCCACCAGCTCTCTCTTACTAATCCTGGGGCACAAGCAGCCCCTCCCACAACAAAACTATTTTTAACCCATCTGGGCCAAAGCCAAGTGACTGCAAACCCAGGTCTCTGGGAGACAACTTCTTATGGTGGGAGAGGCTTCACGCCCCATCGATGTGGATAAGGGGGGGTAGGCGCAGAGACGAGGGCATCCTTCTAGGAATCCCTGCACGGACCCAGGACCTCCATGCCACCAGCCTTCAGCCTTATTTTTGCTAAATGTGTCCTGTGCTACCCCACTCTTTTGTCCTGGGTCTGTGGGAAGACAGGGCATCTCCCCCATCCACCCAGGTGTGGACTGCCCAAGAGAAGGTGCAAGGGCATCTGAGGTCAAGAGCTGTGTGCCCCCAGCAGACTGGGGGCTTTCAGAGGACAGGATCATGCACGCCCCTCAGCGGGGAGAGGTGGGGGGACACTGATGCAGCGGGGTCCTCTGTCCTTGCAGCCATGGTTCCCCTCCCCATCTGCTCCCGCTGCTGTATCTCAGGTGACATATACAGGTCGTTGCCTTCACACCCTGCCTCAGAGCTCATGCCTGCCACACTCAGTTCCCGGGTGCCATCACTCCCGTTCTTGCCTCCCTCCCTGTCAAGAGCTACCCTAGTTTCTACCATCCCGCTCCTGGCACCCTCCTCACAGACTGTAAGGAAGCAGAAAATGGAGGAAAGAAGCCCATGCCTGGCCCCTCTCCCAGCGTCAAAACCTGAGACCTGGGGCAGGCAGGTACCCGCCTCCCAGAGCCCTGGGGCCACCCTCACAGGAACCACTGAGTCCCTGGACAAGGACAAGTCCCTGACCTCCCCCTCATCGGATGTCTTTCCCCAGCCCAAGACGCACAGGCCCGGGTTGCTGAGGATGCTAATGACCAGGATGACTCACTGAAAAGACTGCCAATTCAGTGGAAAAAATCTCAACTTCACAACACAACCAAGAGCCACACACGTGCACCTAAATACACACTCCACTTCCTGGCTTCTGGGCCCACACCTGAGCGCGATGTTGCCCTCATGACTGCTTAGGAGGAATGGGTCAGGTCAGTGCCCTGGGCGAATGGCCGCATCGGGCTGCGTCCATACTGCTTAAACTACAAGGAGGCCGGGCACAGTGGTTCAGCCTATAATCCCAGCACATTGGGAGGCCGAGCCGAGAGGATTCCCTGAGCCCAGGGGTTCAAGACCAGCCTGGGCAACTTGGCAAGACCTTGTCTCTACAATAAATCACAAAATTAGCCGGGTGTGGTAGCACCCACCTGTAGTTCTGGCAACTTGGAAGGATTGCATGGCCCCAGCAGGTCGAGGCTGCAGTGGCCTGAGCGTGCCACTCTACTCTAGCCTGGGCAACAGGATGAGACTCCAACACAAACAAACAAACAAAAAACTGCAAGGAAGAGTTCTGAATCTTTTAGGACTTCAGAGGGGTGCAGGGAGAAAAGAATGGCAGGTAACGTCTCTGAACGCTTATCACGGGCCAGCACCATGCTGAGAACTCCGAGAGTCCATGACAACTCTATGACACTGACACTGCCATCTCCATTCAACAGGTGAGAAAACTGAGACCTACGGCAGTTAATTCACTCGACCCAAGTCCCAAAGCCCTGGAGCAGAGTTGCTGGGATGGGAGCCCATGCCCCACGGACTCCAAAGTTCAGGCAACTGACCACTAGGCAATCCTGTCCCCTAAAGAATCAGGAAAGTAGGGAACAAACAGGAAAGATGAGCAGAAGGCGGCTGGGGACCCTGCAAGCGGCCGGGAGCCCTGAGAAGCACCACCCTACCCGGGAGGCGGGAGGAGGGAGGAGGATGCTCGACATATGTGGGAAGTGGAGGATTCGAGGGCGGAAGGGGCTGTCTCAAGGTCACAGAGCGGCGGTGGCACGGAGCAGATTCGAGCACAGGTTCTTGGCACCTCAGCCTGCTGAGCTGGCACCTTCCGAGGAGCCCGAGCAAATGGCAGGGCTGGCAGGAAGGAGGCCCCTCGCTGCAATCCTTCCACCCTTCATTGACTGATCCTTTCATTCATTCTTTCCACGAGTAATTCAGGGATCTGAAAACAATCATCCTCACTGCTACTGAGAAAGCACGTGAGCCCCGCGAGGTCAGAACTGCCCAGACCCGCGAGGTGCGGCACTCCCAGCCTTTGTGAGGACGCAGCGGGTGGGGTCAGAGTTCGGGCTGGTGCTGGGTCGTGGGAGTAGGAGGGGAGCAGGGCTTCGGGATTAAAGGTGGGGTCAGGGTCAGACTAGGGATGGGGTTGACGGCTGGCACGTGGCCAAGACTGTGGACCCAACGGAGGTCAGGATGAGGGATAGGGTTAGAGTCAGGGATGGGGGCAGGAACATGGTTAGGATGAGGGGCAGGATTCGAGCCGGTGCGGTCAGAATTATCGTCTGACTCAGAATTGGGAGGGAAACGGAAATCCAGCCTCCCCGGCCCATCCATCTTCACCCAAAGATGCCTCCAGCTGCCCCGGCCACCTCACCCCTGTGGGGGAATTTAGGGACCGAACTTTCCACCACCCACAGGCACGCCCAGCCTTCCCACCCGACCCTCGGGGAGGGGACCACAGGCACCGGGCCGTGGAGCGGGCTTGAGGTTGCAGGCCCGGCCGGGCCGGGGGTAGGAGGAAGTCGCTCTCAACAAGCCGTGCTCCACCACTTCCTTTCTGGCGCCTCGAGCCCCCTTCGCTCTCCCCGACCAGCCACACCGCGGTCCCCAGAGCCCGGCTCCTCATAGCAGCCCCTGCCACCTACCCCCAGAGCCGACGTCCTGTGTCTAGAAAGCCTTCCAGATGCAGCCGAACCTAATGCCAGGGTCCCTGCGCAGGTGGGGCGCCCTTAGGTCCCAGTCTGCCCAGGACTGCCCGGGTTCCCACCAATTATTAATAGTGCCCCTTTCACTTTCAAAAGCGAGTCGGTTTGGTCAACAAATCACATAGTCGCCCCTCATATAAGAGCCTACACCTCGGAGGCACCAATGCCCATCTCCTCAGGACTTGCTTGGCACCTGCACGGAGCTTGCTCCTGACCTCCGCGGATAACTTAAATCCTCTGCACCTCAGCCTGCTCATCTGTAAAAGGGGAATGTTACTACATCTTGTTTGTGAGAAGGACCTGAGATTGTGTAGGTAAATCCTCTTGCACCGTGTCTGGCATGGACAACCAGGAGAATGCCTGGGGAAGGTGGAGAAGGGGAAAGGCGTTCTGGGGTTTTCTTTACAGACACCAGCTTCATGACTTTGGTTGAACAAGGAGGAGAGGATGCGGCATTTCCCGTTGAGGGAGAGCACACGGGCAGGAACCGCTCTCCACTCTGCTGGCAGGCAGAGGGTCAAGGACGGGGACTCCAAGCCCACCCACCCTCACGCCAGCTGCAGAACCCTCGGCCAGCCTCAGGGAGCCCCAGGCCTGCAAGTCGACGGCTGTGGGCCGCCGGGTGCCCAGCCAAGGGAGACTTGAAAGAAAGGAAGTAGGGAGGGTGAGAAGCGTGAAGGGGGAGGCCCTGGGCCCGCGGGTTCTGGGGCACAAGGCTACGCTCAGGGTACGCGGGGGTCTCCGACTTCCGTCCTGACCCACCCCACACTGCCCTTGACCTCTGTGCAGTTTCCATCCTCTCTCTCGAGTTCACACTTCTTCCCCACCACTAACCGCAGCCCACGCAGAGGCTTGTGGGTGGAGAGAGAGGTGGGGAGGGGCGGGGAGGGGGACGGAAAAGGGCCCAGACTGCAACACCAAGCCCCCCACGTGGGGAGAAGAGGCCTAGAGTTTTCCCCTCATCACCCACACTGAGTGCCCATCTTCTCCCTGACAGACCCCCTCACAGGGCGTCCCCCTCCCTCCCTGGGTCCTCATGGCCCTCGCAGACTCCCTCCCTTGGAGTCCTCACCCCTGGGAGACCTGTCCCTCTCAAGAAGTCCCAACTTCCCCTCCCTTAGGTACCGGCTATGCCCTCTGCAAGGCGGCACTAGGGAGCCCCGTGCCTCTGAGTTGGTCCTAGCGAGGAGGAGAGGAGGGGGCTGTGGGTTCTGCCCCCCACCTGGGCTGGGACCCTCCTGGGGTCCCCACCTCCCTGAGCATCCCTAGGGGCAGAGTGGGCTCCACTGCCGGCCCCTCCCTCATCACTGCCGCTGGCCCCTGAGTGACTGCCACTGGCTCTTCCTCTAGAGCGCTCTGTCTCCCTGGGCTCTGGTCACCAGAAACTAGGTTGTCCAAACAGCAGGATTTCCCAAGGTCCGACCTGGAGGGCGGCCGTCCGGTCAGGTCTAATCTGGGTGTCTGTTTTCACGGGAGCATTCATGGCCAGAGCTTGTGGGCCAAGGCCTGGGAGGGGAGGGACTGGGAAGCCCTGGGACTGTGGCTGCCTCCCAGGTCTGCCTTCTCCACACGGGCAGGACAACAGGGGCAGGATCAGCATGAGGGAGGGTCTTTGAACTGTGAGGACCTCGGCACTCAAACCAGCTGCCCTAGAGATGTCCAAACTGAGATGCAGAAGATTCCCACAGAAGAGGAGGCCGGACACAGGAAGTCCGAGTCCCCTCCTCAGCTCCCTCATCCCAGGTCCTCCTGGCCCAGATCACACCCCCACCCGGATAATCCATTCTGCTCTCAGAAAAGCAGGTTTGTGAAATGCCCACGAGCCGGGTCAGACGGAGGTAGAAGGGAGAGGGGTGCGGGCGGGGGAGGGGGCCATCAGCAAGTGACTGAGGCTTTCTCAGGTGAGAGGGCAGGAGGGAGCAGTCGGGAAGCAGCCTGTTACCAAAAGGAGCTGAGTTTATAAGAAAATAAAACTACTGGGGGAGTGAAGACTTCCTCTGAGAACTGACTCTTGCCAAGCCGGGGCTGTCCAGAGATGCTCACAGCGTGGGGACGGCAGCAGGAACTGCTGGCTCCAGATGCAGAGATCAGAGGCCCAAGGCAGAGTCCGAAGCCCCAGGAAAGAGAGGAAGAGCCCCGAGGCGGCCTCTGGTAAGACGCGCTCCCCCTGGCTGAAGGGTCTGAGTAGGGTGGGCGCCTTGGGGTGAGGAGGCCAGAAAGAGCAGCAAAGATGATTCGACCTCCAAGCACCTTGCCGGACGGGTTCCCTTGGCCCCTGGGGACCCACTACCCCTTCTCTGCCACCTCCTACCCCACCCCCCTCGCCTTCCTCTCAATCTCCCAGCAAGGACTGACCCCTGAGCCCCTGAGGGAAACCTGGGACCCAGAGAGGTGAAGTCAAAGTCAGTAAAGCAAAGCCACCCAGCAGCCCTGGAAGGGACCCTGAGATTCAGGGCCTGAATGGTCAGACTCAGCCCTGCCCAAAAGTCCTCCTTCAGAACTCTCCCAACGAGGGAGATCCATGGTTGATCTTATAAGAGGGACCTGGACTCGGTGACCCACAAAAGGCCCAACAGCATGATTTCTGGGCAAGCTAGGATTCTAAAGCATGGTGTGTGTGTGTGTGTGTGTGTGTGTGTGTGTGCGCGCGCGCGCGTGCGCACGCGCACACGCGCGTGTGTTTTCTGGGTCTGGGCACACAGGCTATGATGGGCCCCGAGCCCCAGCCACAAGCTCTCCACAAAGGCCTAGCTGAGGGCTCCCACCCACCAGTCCCACAAACTGAGTTCTCACCCCCCCCCCAGTTATCACAGCTCCACCCAGCCCTCACCCCAAGGTGGGGGGGGAGGTGAGGGGTATGCCCACTTGGCCCGAGGCTAGGAGAAAAATGAGGAGGAGGCCTGTAAAGCAGGAGGACCCCTGAGACTCTGGAGCTGGGCGTGCTGTGTGACTGAGGGTTCGTTTCTGACCCTCTCTGGGCCCTAGTCTTCCCCACCAATGAAACAGGGAGTGTGTACCACTCCCCTCAGGGGAGAGAACCAAGGCGGAAGGAGGTTTGGGCTCTGTTTCTCAGAAAGTGGGAGAGGGTGATTCGGCGCGGGTGTGAGAGGCATCAGGCTCCACGCCGCAGGGCAGCCGCTCACCCCTCCCCTGCCACCCAGCGCGCCCCCACCTCCACAGCGCCCTTCCTACTTCCTGCTGCTCCCTCTCCTGCTGGGATTCCATGGGGACACCCCAGAAGAGTATGTTCTAATTTCCCACCCAGCGTGGCCTTGGCCTCAGTTCCTCTCCTGAGACAGACCCATGAGAGACCATCTCTTTCCTCTTCCCTAGCGAGGGCAGCGTGAACCCAACTGGGGACACGGAGCACAGCAACAGCTGAGCGAGTCTCTCTCAGCCCCCGACACCTCGAGAAGAGCTGGGCTTGGGTCCTAGAGGAGAGCAAAGGGAACATTCCAGAACCTGAACACGCCGGAACCCCACCTCTTTCCTAGGAAGGATGCAGTGAACAAGCAGCCCCGACAGCACACCCCTGAGGTCACCAAATAACACGGAGGGACGGACAGCAAATCCAAGGGGGATCCGGACCATACTGCCCCGGGCTAAGAGGTTGAGAGGGTGAGGGTTGCAGACGTGACTTACTGATCGTCCCCGACCCTTTTCACCCACGCCATGTCCCGCTCCGACTGGTTGGAGGCCAGGTCCTGAGGGGGAAGACGGAGAGGTCAGAGCCCGGCCTCACCCTCGCCTGGACCCCTCTCTAAGTTCCGCACGCCAGGAGGAAGACCCCGCCCTGCACCTGCAGAGACTGTTCTGGGCCCTGCGGTTACCTGGGCCCGGGTCTCCTGCAGCTGTTTCAGCTCCCCCTGCAGCCGCTCACACTCCGCCTGGAGCTGCTCCTCTCGGAGCTGAGCTCCCCGGGCCTCTCCCTGGGCAGCCTCCAGAGCCTCCTCGAGCCGCCGCCGCTCCAGCTCGCTCATGCTGGGCGTGGGGCCTGGCCAGCCTGCTGTCAGGGGAGAGGACAACGTCAGGCTGGTTCAGTGGCCTCCACCGAGTCCCAGAGCCACACACAGGGAAACCAGGGAGGACCATGGCACGAAGGCTCCAAGAGAGGCCAGGCTAGATCCCTAAGGAGGAGAGCTTCCTCTACAAGGGCAGGGGGGAAGGATGGGCTGAGCTGCATTTACTTTCTGCTGTTGTGCTTTTTTTCTGAGTCAGAGTCTCACTCTGTCGCCCAGACTGGAGTGCAGTGGCACGCTCACGACCACCGCAGCCTCAACCTGCTGGGCTCAGGCGCTTCTCCCGCCTCAGCCTTCCAAGTAGCTGGAACTACAGGCGTGCGCCACCATGCCCAGCTAATTTTTCTTGATCTATTGTAGAGATGAAATCTCACCAAGTTGCCTGGGCTGGTCTCAAATCCATGGGCTGAGGCAATCCTCTCAACTCAGCCTCCCAAAGTGTTGGGATTATAGGCGTGAGCCACCACGCCTGGCCAATGAGCTAATCTTCCTGGAGACCAGGGAAAAAAATAGTAAGACGGTCTCTTGAAGGCTTTTTTGGCCAGAGCATCCTCGCAGCCCCTCCCAAGCATCGCCTGAGACAGGCTGGGGGGACTCTGGGTGGGGGCGCCCTCTGCTGGCACACTCAGGAATTGCAAGAGGGTAGCCAGGGACCGATAGGACCGTGGAGTTAGAAGGGGAGGGATTGGGTAATGATGGATGCGGTGAGGGGGCGGCTGTCCCGGGGAGACAGGGGACTATGGGAGAAATATAAGAGACCACGACGGTTTGTTAAGCAGTGGTGCTGAAAGAGGGGTGGGGCTTGGGAGCTCAGAAGGAGGGGTCGTGAGCTCTCACCGTGACCCAAGCCAGATCCCCCTCCCAGTGCCAGGTAGTGCAGGTCCAGCTCCGCACAGGGCGGGGCGGGTGCCGGCGGGGGGCTCAGGCTGGAGAAGGCGGCGTCCCGGAGGCCTTGCTGCTGCCGCAGCTGCTGCTCCAAGCCACAGATCTGGCGCAGGTGGGTCTCGACCAGGGCCCGCTGGAGGCGGAGACAGAGAGGGGAGGGTCTGCCTAGGCCCAGGACTTCCCACATCTGGGCATCATCATCCTTCCAGGATCGAGCTGAGGCCCAGATCACACAGCCCCAGACCCTCTCAAGTGGCCGTGAGTCTAAGGTCTCCCCTCCCAGCAACCAAAATGCAGATGTTTCGGCTAGGGTCAAGTTGATGTCTCTTCTCTGCCATGAACACACGGGGTTCCTTATCAGAACACGCAACCCCCCTGTCCGGACACCCCCGCAGGAGCACCATACACGTCCACGTGCACACAGGACTTGACCACTTCTGGACTTTGTCTACCTCATCTACCAAATGGGGATAACAGTTCCACAGCTATCTCCTAGGGCAGTGATGAGAACGGCACCTGGCACACGATAAGTGCCGTGTAAATATCCGTGACTGTCAAGGCATTCATTCGCTCACCGATGGCCCATCGCGCCCTCACCGTGGCCCCGCGAGGGTGTTACTGCGTGCCCCACTTTTCAGAGGAGGGATAGAGGCTGAGTGACTTGAGCGAGGTCACAGCCCGGGGTCCACAGAGACCATGTCTCCCGATCCCGACGCCTGCCCACCTGCTCACCCCCGCACGGCTGCACCCTGGCTCACACGCTTCCCTGGGGCAGTGCTCACAGGCACAGAGTCAGCCAAACATACACACAAGGACACGGTGGCCAGGATATGCACAGAGCCACCCGCAACCCAGATGACACACACGGCCCCCCTCCCCGGGCCAAACGGAGCTCACAGACACACACACACACACACACACACACAGGTGGGGTGTGTCACACGGGGTCACACACAATCGCAAGTTGGAATGCCCACGCCCAGAACTCCACACACACAGGCGGGCACGCAGCCCCGGCTTCCCGGCCTCCGGAGCCTCACCATCTCTCCCAGCTCCGTCTCCAAGTCACTCTTCTCCACGCAGAGCTTCTCGTAGGCCTGGATCATCTCTCCGAGCTGCTCTTCCTGCTCCTTGTTCTTCTGCAACTGGACGGGGGTCCCCCAGGCACGCCGCAGACTCAGGGTCGTCCTAGGCTTGGGGCTGAGGGCTTCCCGCGCCTCCCCACCTCCACTCCCAGCACCCAACAGAGGGGCAGGAGGCGCTGCGGCTGGTTTTAGGGAGGACCGTAGCCATCTCTGACCAAAGGGGCAGAGGCCAGAGGCTGGGGCTGGGGCGGGGTATCGGACAGACCGGAAGGAGCCAGAAGCCCAGCGAGACCAAAGGGCTCACCTCATGCTGGAACTGGTTGAGCCGCTGCTGCAGACTGACCTTCTCCACCTCCAGCAGGGAGCCGTCCTTGATTTCATACAGAGAGAAGCCATGCTCCTCCCCGAAGTCACTGATCAGTGGGTACTGTGGACGAGACAGGGCCTCAGAAGAGCTGGCGCCCAGAGCCCTGCCCCACAATCTGCCTCAGAGTCCTTGCCTCTCCCTCCTGTCGCCATCGGGATCCCAACTCCCGTGGGCCCGCAGGCAGCTCCCACCCGGGATCTTTTTCAGACCACAGGGCCAGCCTGTCCAAAGCCGATGGATCCCCTTTGGCCGCTCGGCTCTCCAGAGCTCCCATCCAGGGCAGCCTAGCTTTCGTGGGAGACCCTCAAGGCCCCACGACCCCTCTTAGGATCTCTGTCATCCCGCCCCACCCACTCACACACCACAAGACCCCTCCTCTCCAGGTTCTGACCTTGATCTCATAGACCTTGAGGCGGCGGCGGAGGGTGGCATTTTCCCTCTCCAGGCCCCCCAGCCGCTCCTTGATGTCTCCATAGGCGGTGATGAGGGCGAAGTGGGAGGCAGAGCACATGTCCTCCCCCAGCGCGGGGTCTCCAGGACCGTCCAGCCACACCTCACTGGGCCCCAGCGCCTCCTGGGTCAGGATGCTGAGGTCGTCCTCAAACATGGACTCCATGGTGCGGCCGCGCTGGGCCTCCTGCGAGAGCAGGAGCAACCATGGAGGGGGCCGTCTGTCTGGAGCTTCTCTCCAACACCCCTCACCATGGCCGGAGGCACCCTGGCCCGGAAGCTTCCTTCCTGCAGCCCCTTCCCAGCCTCCTAAGCCCCATCTTCTCTGCGGCCTCTGGGGGAAGGGGCTGGAACCCCGCAGAGGGTGTTGCAAGGGCTCCTTCCAGAACCCAGGGAGACCTGCGGACCGGGGGGCTGCCTTCCCAGGCAGGACACGCGCCGAGCCTGCCGGGGCTCAGTCCCCAGCCCTCCCCCAGCCCTCAATTCCCCAAATACCTCTCTGCCGGGGCACCCCAGCTCCTCCCTGAGGAAGGCCCCACCACAGGCGGCACACCCTCCGCGGCGCCGGCCCAGCCTCCCGCTTCCTCCAGCGGACTCCCAGAGTTCAGGAAAAGGAAGCGCCTCCCGCCTCCACCGGGGCCGTGGCAACCGTCCAGGCCCGCTGGGCCCCCGACCCGGACCTACAGGAAGCCCGTGGCTGGGTGTCCCAGGGCGCACACCGGGGACCCGGGCTCGGGCGGAGGGGCGCGCGGTGGACTCCCGAAGCCCGTCCCGGCGTGCCCGCACACAGGGAAGTGGGGAACCCTGAGAGGGGGCAGGGATGACTCAGGCTCCGAAGAGGAGTAGGCAGTGAGGGGGCGCGTGTGTACTTCTCCGGGCCCTGTTTGTGAATGTGTCTGGGCTGGCACGCGGGGGGAGTTGCGCCGGTGAATGAGGTAGGTGTGTCACCGTCAATGGGTGCCTGGGGGCGGAGGGGTCGGAGGAGTTGGGAAGTGGCCGGGAGCTCGTGTGTGCACGCGTGCGTGAGCGTGTGGGCAGGGTGGCACGTTCGGGCCGCGTGTCACGTGAGGCACTATGGGCATGTCCGAGGTGTGCGCGCGCTGGAGCGCGTGTGCGCCCGGAGAGGGGGCGCCGCGAGTTCCCACGGTGGGGCCCCCGACCTCCCGGAGCTGGGCTGCAGGA